CGGCCCGGGCCCCGCCCGACAGCACCCCCACTCCCGCGGGCCCCAAGAAAGGACCCCGAGGGAAACTCCAGACTCAGCGCGCAGCAACCAAAGGCCGGGCCGGGGCCGCGGAAGGCCGGGCAGGGACCAGATAATGACGCCCGGCGCGCTCTCCGCGGCGCCCCCAGCCCTCGCCGGGCCCCCCACACTCGCAGCCGGCCAGCTCCCAGCACAGCCTTACGCCACCGCGGCCCCCGCCTCCCCCCGCACCCGCCGGGACGCGAGCACCTGTGCCAGGCCGCCGCCCAGCCGCCGGCCTCGGGCGGTCCGCGTCCCGGGGGAGGGGGCTCCGGTCCCCCCTCCGCCGCCGCCCCGGGAAGGCTCAGCCACTTTCCACCCAGGACTCCACTTCTGGGGATTGTCCCCCTGCCCCCCCCACCAGGCCCTGGCTGCCCTCCGCGGGGGGCCCCAGGACCCTCTGCTGACCCCCCACCCCGCAGCGCCTCGCCCCCCTCCACGCCCGCCTCCCACCACCAACACCCCCCACTCTTTGGGAGAAACAGCCTCAAATTCCGGAAGTGGAATTTGCTTTCTTGCTCCCCACAGTGGCCCTGGTGTCGGGGTGACGGCCCAGCTGCCGGGCTGGGAAGGTGGGGTGGCGGGGCCGGTTCCCGGGCCCCCGGGGGTAAGGGTGGGGGGCAGCCCCTGCCCTGAGGGCTCGTCTTGGGCAAAGGTTTCCCACGGAGCCTGGAGGGAGTCTTGGAGAAGGTTCCCCCCTCGCCGTGGCCGCGCCCAGTGCTCAGGATCCCTTTCCACGAGGAACTCTCGCCGCCGCCTGCCCGCCTGCCCGCAGCGCGGCCTGCTGCAGCCGCAGCCAGCCCTTCGCCCCAGGACAGCAGTTGGGGGCCGTCACCTTCTGTGTGGCCCTTGGGAGATGTGGGGACCCGGTCCTGGCGCGTCCTCCCTGCGCGGGGAGGGGTCTGAGCCGCGGCATCTCCCCCAGGGGACAGAAGAACAGAAACAGGGCGGCCGGCTCACCGCCGCCCCCGAGGCAGAAAGGCCCTTGTCCCTTCCAGTGTGTCCCGTGATAGGTGCCCAGCCCCGACCCCGCGCCCACCCTCCCCCCCTCCCTCCCTCTGCTCACCCTTCAGCCTGGACCCCGAGCCCAGAGCCCAGCCGTGCAGCCCATGCTCCATAAGGATTGTGCCCCCCACCCCACCATGACCTCTCCCCCCACCAGACCCCCTCCCCCCACATCTCCTCCATCCTCAGCTCGCCGGCAGCCTGTCTCCTGGCCACAGAGGGTAAGCTAAGACATCCAGGGAGAAGGCAGGCTGGCCATGGCACGTCCCTGTGGCCTGGCCACGCTTGCCCACCATCGCCAGAAGGAGGCCCACACGCAGTTTGGTGGCACCAGCTGAACTGCTTGAGAGCCCGCGGGCTTGGGCAGCTGCTTCCATGCCAAGAGGGTAGCCTTTCTGCAGAGCAGCCCAGGGAAGGACACGAGGGTGGACGGCCTTCCAGGTCCATCCCATGCTGATGCAGAAGCTCCCAGAACACTCAGGAAACCTCTTCACACACAGCCCTCCTTGTCAGCCAAGGCCCTCAACTGCCCTCTGGGTCCGCAGAGGCTGGAAGAAGGCCGCGCCCTGCCACTCCCGCCTAGGGCTGCTCTGAACGACAATCAACTCATGCCAGGCGGGACCGGGGCATGACCCCGGTGCCCAGGTCCTTGCCACCAAACGAACCGTGAATGTAGGGCCCCCAGCCTCACCTCTGCCCTAGGACCAACGCTACCCTGGCTTGGGGAGGGGACTGTCCCCTCTCCCCATCTACCCTGTCCCCAGCTGCCATCAGCGCCAGAGTTGGCAGAGATCCAAAACCCGTCCGCCCTTGGGATCCCGGACCTTGCTAGGGCTCTCATGTGACCTCAGGCCTCTGAGTCACTGAATGTCCCCAGGTGAGTGGGGAGGAGGGAGGGCAGTGGAGGGGGCAGCTAGGGGACTGTCTGCCCCTACCCCCCAGGGCAGAGGGACCCACATCTTCCAGTGTCCCTCCCTGCAGCTGCAACAGGCCCCCCCAGGTCCTGAGCCCCTCCTCTCTGAGAGTGTCACTGGACCCCTCCGCCTGTGCCAGCACCGCCCCTGCCATCACAGACAGCCTCTGTCACAGGCTCAGACATAGGATTTGCTCCTCAGAACACGCCTTCCCTCCCTTGCTGCCCTCTCCCCCCCCCGCCACGCCCCATGTCAGAGGGGCACAGGAGAAGGGCCAGGGCCAGGCACATGGCACCCTGCTTTCTCCCGGCTCCTCGCAGGGGCCTGCCCTGCTCAGCCTTTGGGCGAGGGGAGGGGGACAGGGAGTAGCCACCCCCCTCCCTAGGAAGCCACCAAGAATGTTTACATGCCAAACAGAATGTAACACCTCCCCCCACACACACACCTGTCCCAAACATTGCATGGCCTCCGCCCGCCCTGCACCTGTCCATCCCCATCGGACTCTCTGGAAGCTGCTGTCATGATTAGAGCGGGTCTTGGAAGGGAAGTAGCCATCACACCATTAAAAAGCCTGTGGACCTTTGTTTCTTTTGGCCTGGAGTCTTCTTCCCTTTAAGGAGGGCAGGGTGTCCTCCTCCTCCCTCCCAAGGGATGGAGTGAGGAGTGCTAGTTATGAGCAAAGGGGCAGGGACTAGTTTGGAGACAAACAGGAGTTCAGAGGAGATAGGAGCTTTGGTGCAGTAGAGGAAATTTGATCAGGTGACCACACAGGCCGAAGGCAGCTGTCTTGTTATCCCCCTGATAGCAAAGCTAGTATTCTTGGGCCCCTGGTTGTCCCTGCTGAGAGCCAGCTCTATGTCTTGCTGGATGCACAGCAGGAGGGAGAGACTCCACGTTGCCCCAAAGGTAGCCGACAAAGCAAGTGCTTGGAAGATCCCGAAGGGCAGTGGCTCACAGAACGTTACGATAGCAGATCCCATCCACTCCGCAGACGAACTTTACCCTGTGTGTCTACTTCTTGTGCACACACACACAGTGTCCAAGATCATTCGTGAAACCTTGCTTTGTAAAGCTGAAACCCCAAAAGTACTGAAAACTGGGAGCTTTTTCACTAGATTGGTTCAAACTCAGCAGGACACTGGTGGCTCAAGCCTGTAATCCTGGCTACTTAGGAGGCTGAGATCTGACGCTCGCAGATCAAAGCCAGCCCAGACAGGAAAGTCCATGAGATTTATCTCCAATTAACTAATAAAAATAAAAAAGCTGAAAGTGGCTGTGGCTCATATGGTAAAGTGCTAGCCTTGAGTAAAAAAGCTTAGTACCTAGACCCTGAGTTCAAGCCCACAGACCCTCACACACAAAAAAAGAAAACATTGGTTTAAACTCATTTGATATTAAAAAAAAATCTGACAAGACAGTTTATAATCTTTATTCAACTTATGGTTTTAGTGAAAACTTTTTTTGAGACAGTCTGGCTATGTAGTTCATCCTGGCTGGCCTCAAATTTACAATCCTTCTTTCTTAGCTTCCTAAGCACTAGTGTTACAGATGGGCACCACCAGGCCCAGTTCAGTGGATATAGTGTCTTTCATTATGGGGTGCTCTGCTAGATCCTATTAAGATAGGTTTTTGTTTTTGTTTTGCGTCAGTATTGGAGCTTGAGTTCATACTGGTCTTCCTTACTCACAGCCAGCACTCTACCATTTGAACCACACTTCCAGTTCATCATTTTGTTGGTTAATCAGAGATGGATTGTCACAGACTTTTGTTTTTGGCCAGGGCTGACTTCTGTCTCTAAGTGTTCCCCAATCCCTCTCTTTTTTTTTTGGTCTGGTCGTGGGCCTGAACTCTGGGCTTGGGCGCTCTCCCTCAGCTCTTCAGCTCAAGGCAAACGTTCTACCGCTTGAGCCACAGTGCCACTTCCGGTTTTCTAGTGGTTTATTGGAGATAAGAGTCTCACGGACTTTGCTTGCCTGGGCAGATTTTGAACCATGACTTTCAGATCTCAGCCTCCTGAGTAGCTAGTCTTACAGGCGTGAGCCACCCGCGCCCGGCTTGCCATGGTCTTTCACATATGCATGTACTTTATTTTAATCAGAACAGTGCCCTGTCTGCCCATTGCTCTGTCTGCCCATCTCCTCATTCCCTTTACACCTTTCAGTAAGAGTTCTCATGCCATCTTCATATATAGATGTAACATCTTTTGATATTATTCATATTCCCTTATTCTTTTATGTTCTATTTAATGGCTATGTAATACTCTATGATACAAATGTCCCATAATCTTTTTTTTTTTTTCCGGTCATGGGGCTTAAAGCCTGGGCGCTGTCCCTCAGCTCTTCAGCTCAAGGCGAGCACTCTACCACTTGAGCCACCACTTGTGGTTTTCCAGTGGTTTATTGAAGATCAGAGTCTCATGGACTTTCCTGCTTGGGCTAGCTTTGAACTATCAACCTCCTGAGTAGCTAGGATTACAGGTGTGAGCCACCAGTGCCCGGCTTCCAAAGTCTTTTAACCATTTCCGCACTGACTTTTCATTGGGCTGTTGCAACTTTTTCCACTATTTCAAATAGTGCCCAAATGAACATCTTGGCTATAACTTTTGCCTCCAGCTCTAATTCTAGGGGAAATTCTTAGAATCAGCAAATACATTAAAATCGTGCTGAATCCTACATGCCCCAGTGGCTACACCAGACACAGAGCACTGTTCAGGCTCCAAAACAAAGCCCCACCTTCTCTGAAGACCCAGTGTGCAACTGACTGGTACATCTCCAGAGAGCATCTTGGGACAAGGGTGAAAGTCTGGGGCTGGTGTGTTTTCCGGTCCTCCAGTCAGCTCTGAGTCACAGTGTGACCCCAGCAGGTCCCCAACTTTGGTTTCACTATCTGTTCAAAACTGGATTGAATTAGTGGTTTCCAAAGTTTTTTGTTTGTTTTTTAGCTTCCAAAGAACATCTTTGGAAATTCATTTGAAAATCTTGGGACACAACTGGGCAATCTTCCAGTGTTGCCTGCGTGGTGTCTGTGACACTCAGCTTAGAATAACTTGACTTTGCTGGCTTCTGTCCTGCATTTGCTGCAGGGGTCATCTAGAAATGGGTGACGTCAGGTGGATGGGCCCACGGACAGGGAAGGGTCCTGAGTGACGGGGGACGGATGAGAGCAGGATTCCCCAGCCAGGCCAGTGCATGTCCTGGTGGCACTCAGGCCAGGGGTTCAGCTCCAGGCAGACAAGGAATCCAGGGAAACTCCGTTA